AAGGATACACACTACAATGTCAACCACCGGTTACGACTGCCGGCGGGTGCGCACACGCACTTAGGCCCGGCAGCCGCGAACTGCTCCTTCTGGGGCGGGCATTGTCCCTTCTTGGATGACGATGATGACCTGCTAATGCATGGTGCGAGATTGCCGGTCTCCCTGGGTCGGGGCTTTCGCCGCACCGTCGCCCGCCGGACTCTCCTCGCTTGACACTGACACCATCCACCGAGCAGACATGCTGCCCTTTGTGGAGTCCTTGCAGGCGTCGCAGCAGCACGCCGTGTCTGCCTTTTCCACTGCTTCCCTCGTGTCGCATCTGTTGGACAACTTTTCCGAAGAGAGTACGCCATCCATCCATGCTGCTCCTCTGGCGCCCCGTGTCAGTGGGCCCGGTGGCTGTACTCCCCACCACGCGCTGTATCCCCGCTGACCCTTCCTCGCCGCTCTGTCGGGCCAGCTCCGGATACCATTTTCCGGCCATCACAGAGCGTTCTCTCCAGTTTGAGCAGCCTCGACCCGACGTCCAGTTCCACCACCAGTCATCCTGGGGCCGAGGTCCTGGCTGGCGATGGCGGTGGGCAGGTGCCCAACACGATCTTGCTGACGGCACGGCTCCCCCCGGGCCGAGCGGTCGACCGGCAGCTTGTGCCCGCTCCCGGGGGAGCCCTTTTCGAGGCGGCTCTCGCCTCCAAGGCCGGGCTGGTGGGAGCCACTTCGCTCGGGGACCAGGCGTACCTGACCGACGGCCCGGAGGCCGCCGGGCGCATCAGCATCCTGGATTCGGTATTTTCAGCTCGTGAGGCGGCCAAGCTGGCGGCCGATCTGCGTGTTTGATGTTCCCCGGGTTCCTGCTGCCGGTGCCGCCATCCTCCCGGCCTCGCCTCTCTTTCTCTCTCTCTCTCTCTCTCTCTCTCTCTCTCTCTCTCTCTCTCTCTCTCTCTCTCTCTCGATAAATGCACGGTTCTTGTGTTGCTTCTCGCTCCTGGGTTAATGGTTAACCGGGAGGTCACGCGCATGAATGTTCACCGGATCATGGCCAGGGGGCCCAACACCCCCGTACCAAAGGGGCCAGCCTTTGGGGCTCAAAAGGTGAGTGGGCGAGCCGGGCGGGGCGGGGCGGGCGGCTAGCAGAGGTGCGTGTGGTGCGGGGGGGTGCCGGCGCGGTCAGAGTCTCACAGCCCTTTCGAGCCCCCCCCCTGGGTCCCTGTGCCGCCGCAGCCACCCGATCACCCCAGAAGTCCCATTCATTTGTGGCTGCGTGAGGGGGGCTGCCGGAGCAACACGGGGGCGGCGGGACGACTGGCCGTCACACCAACGAGCGAGCACGCGAGCATGCGTCTCTGCGTGTTGATGGATAGTTGTCCGAGTGGGTGTGTGTATTCATGGGGGCTGCTCGCACCAGGGGGGGGGGGGGGGGGGGGTCCGGCATGACCCAAGATGGTCGTGCAGGGGTGGTCGCTATGATGTCGCAGGCTCCTGGGAGGATGTGCCCTGAACCGCACACGACTCGGGGGCTCCGGCGCGGCTGGGGACCGGCCGGCATGGATGTGTTCATCCGGCTGTTCTGTTGTCTCGTTCGGTGAGTCGGCTCGCTGACCGGCCGGGTGGTGGCCTGATTGGTCGGGGCCGGCGTTGTACAAACAATGTGGCCGGAGCTCATTCAACCCCGCGCACTTGAGCCCCGCCCGTGGCCCCTTGGTGGGAACACCTCGCGGACGCAGGCCAGAACCCGCAGAGGTCGGGGCTCTGTGACTGTTTTTTTTTTCACCCACCCAAGCGCGATCATTACGGTGCGGTCGCACGACGCCCCTGGTCGCCCCCCCCCCCCCCCCTCAGCCCCGCGACGCACAGCGGCTCCCATTCCACCGAGCAAGCTGCACGCCGCGGCGCCGGACCCAGGGGCCGGCGATCTCGACCAGGCCCCCTTCCACCGGCTGGTGCCTGAGACGATCTCAGGGGAATGCGCATCATGAAACTTGGTCGGCCCGGAGCCGCGCCTCGCCTCCGCCCTTGTGGGCAGCCCTCCCCTTGGGGTGTTCGCCCTTGCCTCTCATCGACCAAGCACTATCCCTCATCGTCACACTGCCTGCCTGCCTAGCATGCGCGAGGCCGGCTGGTCGACTGGTCGGCCAGTGGGCCAATACGCCGACACGCGTGTGTGTGCGTCCTTGCCCACATGTGCCCTGAGTTCACCCGCACGAGTGTGCCCCTCCGCGCCCCCTCTCAGGCTCCAGGGCGGGGGTCCTCCTGTGTGGCTGACCGAGCGGGACTGATCCCCGGCCGGGCGAAAGGACCCCCCGGACGCAAGCCATCGACCTTGGTGGCCCCCCGGGCGGCGTGTACTCCCCCCCCCCCCTCCCCCCCCCCTTTAGTGCACTGGTGACGCCCTGTTCAATCGGAGGAACGGCTCGCCTCTTTCGTTCTTCAGAGGAGGGGGGGGGGGGGGTCGCACGGCCCCCGAGGGAGGTGTCCTCCTGAGGAGAAGTCGTCTTTTCGGGTGTCCGTTTCTCGGTGCCTTCCCCCCGCGCGTGCTCTTTCTCCACCGCCCTGTGTCGGTCCTTGTCTGCCCGTCTGCTGGCCCTTTTTAGCGGCCAGCGATGTGGCTCGGCCCGTCTCTCCTGCTCCAACGAGGACAGACCCCGCCCCGGGACCTGCGCAAAGTGCTGGCGTCCAGCTATTGACTGGCGTCAAGAGGACGCCTTTAGGCTCTCGTTAGCGCAGCCCGACCCACCGGGACACCCTCCAGCCCGGGAGGCGAGACAGCACTGCGCCACGGCCGAGGCGCCAGCGCTTGTCGGTGGACAGCCCCCGAGCGGCCCTTCTGTTTGTGCTCACCCCATTCTCGGGGCAAGGGCCGCTCGCGGAGACCCGGCCAGCCCCCACCGCGCACATCTACCGGACAATGCATGTCCTCCGGCGGAGTTCGGCCCTCTTCCGGAGGCGGGGGGTGGGGATTCGCCTTGGCCACCACTATCCACGGCCGCAACGCTCCTTACGGGGAGGGGCTGTTTCTCTCGTCAGCCAGATTGCCCGGTCCTTTGTTGCTGCTAACACACGAAGCCGCGGAGCGTCCCCCTCCTCCCGCCAACGGGGGCAGGGGAAGCAGCGGTTATCGGGCCAACGTCCACGCACTAGGCAAGATGGAGCACAGGCAGCAGTCGCATCTTGCAGCGGATCCCCCTGCGGGCCGCGTCTCCCCGCTCTGGCGCAAAGCGCCCGACTAATAGCTCCCCCTCGCGGCCACTGGGCCCTGCGCAACTGACGGGTCGGTCGGCGAGCGAAGATCCCCCCGGTCCCCCCTCCCCTCCGCGAGGGGCCCTGCCGAGCCCTTCTTCCGGAGGGTCCCTCCCCCGGCCCAGCCCCGGGCAGAGGCTTCAAGTGTCTCCCCTCCACCCACCCGTGTCCTCGGCCC